AACAAATGGCTCAAACTTATATTTAAATTCCTCTAACCAATAATATTGACTGCGTGGTATTAAATAACATTAATACATTCTATTTCTAAAGTTTCTTAATTATAGTCTGTTTAATATTTGCTAATTAGAATAGTTGCAACGTCGAATATATAAATATAATTTTAATTAAAGCTAGAAAATGTAACAATGATAATCATTTTACGAGAATATGAATAGTTCCAGTAATTTCAGCAACACTACAATCATTTTAATAATTTAACTTTCATTTTAAAGAAACTGCAATGTTGTGTTATACTATTCTAAATATTAAAACGTATATTAAACAGAATATCATCTGCCTTAGAGGAATATTTGGGTTATAAATTATGTTTAAGTTTCGGTTGATATTTAATTATCACAGTAAACATTTAGAGATGCCTGCCTTCCTGGATACCAACAGCGCTTTCGAATCATTTGAAATGTGATTTCTTTTCTTTCCTCTAATTAAAGAGTACTGGAGAGAAATGAATAACTAAATATCTGCTTAGAATAATAAATTAACTTCATAGTTGAAAATGTAGTTGTTATCATGCACAGTTGTAAGGAAATTTCTGCTTTCTTGTTGCGGGTAATTGGTCGTTGTGTAATTGGAAACAAACCCAGTTAGCAATCGAGAGGTCCGGAGTTCGAATCCCAACAATAGCATTGAAACATTTTTCATGTTTCTTGCTTCAGCAATCTAATTATAAATTAAAATTTTCTTAAAGAAACATATGAGTCATTGAAAAACGAATAAGAGCTAATTATTCGTCTATATTTGTTATATACCATCCCTTCTTTTAGTAATGTTTATGGTTTTTATATTTTTAGCTTCATACTTTTCTTAACATCACGTTTTAAATCGCTATCCCGTGATTATAATCTATAATTATCTTTCAAATTATAATAAGACATTATTTGAAGTAAACAGAAGTGACTTCATGATGCCAAAAACCACTTGTAATAACTGAGAATTAAAATTATATTTTAATGATGGTATTAGATGCAGATGTAGTATATCTGTAATTAACAGGAAAAGAAGTGTTCATATAGGAATATAATTTGAGAAGTCTAGGGAGAGATTTCGTACACTTTTGCACACACACTGTTTATTCGTTGATGGAAGACATTTTTTCCGTAAAAGAGGAACTAGCTTAAAATGTCACGTCCAATAATAGCAGACTGGAGAAATTACTGCTTACCCACTTAAAGACCACTCTTACTATGTTTCTTCGCATGGAACAAAACACTCAGTCTCCTTCCAAAGAACGATAGGCAGTTTTGCCAAACCGCGGTGGTTTCTTATTTCGTGTCTTGCTAAAATCTTGTTGCAGTGTCTCGTTTATTATCTAAATTTTTAAATACTAAGCAGCCAAAAAACACAAGAAGAAAATGTCCAGTATATACTAAATGGATGTATGTGTCTATATAGAAAGGGAAATGGTAGAATCATTCCTTCTCCGCCCTAAAACAGAAATAAACATTTTCTGGCATGACTCCAACAAGCGGTTTACTCTCGGTGGGCAGTTGTATACCCACGAGATCTATTATCTCTGAAATCTAAAAATATTTTCTCACAAACCAAAAAAAAAAAAAAAAAAAAAATGCTGGATATGTACTTCTCCAGCAGTTGATACACAGCAGTTTCTGCAAACGGAAAAGTAGTGCTTTCTTTTTTAGGTTGTAGAGTCATAAGTATTTTCGGAGCAGGAGATATGAAAAAGGAGATATGCTTTCGCCGGGACTCGAACTTGGACCTCTTTAATACGCGCCGAGTATGCTACCGTTACACCACGAAGGCATGCAGAAAAAGGGAAAAAATGCCTTGTCCACTTCCCCTTTTGAAGTGCGACTTGGGATTAGGAAACACACCACCATTCATCCACCGCCATTCGGGTGCTCCTGTAGAGTCATTAGGATTTTTGAAGCAGGAAATATAAAAAATGAGCAATGAGTCCCCTTACCGGGACTCGACCCTGGACCTCTCGAATACGCGATGAGTGTACTACTGTTACATCACGAAGGCATACAGAAAGGAGGGACAAAATACCTTATAAGGTTATATGATTCCTCTAACGGATTAATAACGGAAACATTAAAGAGTAATATAAATGAAGGCTACCAATAACACCATGTATCGTTTTCCCAAGCATCTGGTGTAGATGAATTTGCGTTCTTGCCTTTCTTCATGCTTGGCGATGTTTTGCGCAATGGCTCACAAATGGTACCGGAAGTTAACATACATTTCTCACTACTTCATTACACATTTTGTGAAACGTACTTAGAGTTTTACACAAAGGGAATTGGAATTATTCACAAACCGATGTATATTATAGCACATCCAAAGATTCTGAAAATTCAATGCCTTCTGGATTAAACATTTTTCGAGTATTTATTTTAATCTCAGCATTATTTCAACTCCAATTTAAATTTGACAAGAAGGCAATAAAAAATTCTTTGAAAAAGGAAAGTTACCTATAACCTCGATTTGAATTCATTTGTAAAATAATTTTTGCTAGATTTATATAATTATGCTTAATATATTTTAATGAACTATACATAATAGCTGACTTTACTTTGTGATTTTACAAACTACATACAGACGACAAACTGTTTACATGTTTTCCAATACAGTGCATATTAATTGATTTCAATGTCTTGTTCTTGAAAGCACTCTTGCATACATTAAATCAATGCCAACAAACTTTTACGTTTCCTTATTTTCTGAATGTAAATAATTTAATTAAAATTACCGCGTTCATAGTTCAGGAGATTTTAGCAACTATTTCCAGGAATATTTATTATACTATAGCAGACTGGAAAGTAGACTAGAAAACTTTTGAAAGTAGTTGGAAATCTGTAGTTTCTCTTAACTATTGATGAATTGTGAAAATCTAATTGTTGAATGTCTACCACTTTTCTTATGCTGTAGAAGATGTTGTTCAATAGGTCTATGAATGGATTGAATCCTCACTCTAACGTTTGCTTTTCTGAAACTCACTGTTCGTTAACACTCGTAGGTTTATAGTTATCAGGTATTTAAATTAGAAATTAAAATTAGGTGCTTGTTTCTGTGTTGATTTAAGAAATACCCTGTAGGATTCCCCATTGTTTAATTCTAAGTTACAGTTAAAAGTGAAGAATCTTAAGAACTAGTCAGCGAATAATCGCTTGAGTTCGTGAGACAGTAAATAAACTTAAAGGGTTAAAAAACCTTTTATTATTCAACTAAGATTTAACAGAACTTCGTCTTGGAGTTGCACAATAAAGCCGACACTTGGGCTTCAACTTAAGATACTAAGAATTAAACTAATCTTAACTAAAGAGATATAGCCGAAGCTATCAAAATTCTAATAGAGCTGGCCCCTTGACGCCAATGGACTGCGAAGCTATCAAGGGCCTAAAGTACGGCCGAGCGTAATAATAGCTTACGAGAGAGCAGCCTAAAAAGGCGGACGCGTGACGTGCAGCCAGAATATCCGGTATCTCTCTAAGACAGTAGAACTTCGCGGTTAAATACCGCTCTTCCTCATTAGCCTTCAGACGTGATTCTAAAACTACGTTCTGGCCGGAAGTAGTAAGTTGAAATTAAGAAGTGATAGGAAAGGAAGTTTTACTCAAAATTTAACTATTAATAAAATTAACATAATCCTTACAACCCAAACCTTAGCAATAAATGTAAACTTTTCCGCTGTAATACATAAGATGTGAAATGTCCTTACTTCTAGTTTTACGTATTTTATTCAGATTCTTGTTGCATACTTCAATTGTATTACCTTTCAAATTGTAATTACCTTTCAAAGTTCTAGTAAAGTGTTTAAAGTTTAATTCATTTTGTCATGTTTTACAGGCAAAGGTCACTTTATACGATGCACTCTTTTATATCATAAACCACATTAATCTAACTTAACATATTCAAGCAAATATATCATAGCTCGAATATTCAGCATGTGTTGCAAATAAATTACGTTGCAATGAATTTTGTTATCAACATCCGTTTTGTCCTTAGGCCTGGGAAACGTGCATTGTTGTACTCAATGAATATATGTCAGAAAATCAATAGTCCGATACACATATTTCTGTATAGCAGACTCTCGATTTATGATGAGATGCATTCTGTGAGTCCGTCGTAAGTTGAAAGTATGGTGAAACTGAAAATTTGTCTGATACACGTAATGAAAATCCTAGCTTAACCTAATCTGACTTAAATGCGTTTAGAAAACAAGCAGTTTGTAACTGGTTGTTTTCTAAAGTTGTAACTGGTTTGTAACGGGTTTTCATTCTGTTTCTCATAAAAGTTGTTTTCTGAACGTTTGAATATCTCATGTAATTTATGGAAAAATGTCCGTTCATTGAAGAGTTTCTACCGAAAATTAGTCATTGAATAATTTCTGCAGAAAGTTAAAGCGTTTGAGTTAAATGCATTCTTTTTATCGTTCATAGGTGAAATTTCACTAAGCCTTAATAATATCTGAGGCATTTAAATAAATCGCTGGATATAATAATTGAATAGGTTAATTTTTAACCATAACTAGAAAGTAATCTCTATTATTATTATTATCTTAACCATTTCACAATCTATGAGTCTTTCTACTGATAGCACCTAATATCACTGACATAAGGTTCTCAAGCATCGAACATTAATTAATAGTTTCATGAGTAGAGTCTTTTTATGTATATAAAACTATTTTATAGCATAATTTGTTAGCTCCATTCAGTACATTTAACTATCAGTGTTTTGACTCTCTTGCACAGTACATATCCTATTGTAGCATGCGTTGCTAACCCGCAAAATGGTGAAATAAAAACTAGAAGAAAATTTATTTCGAACATATATCGGTCTCTCAATAGCATAAAATTCAAAACTGCAAAAATCAGATAATGACACATCGAAGCAGCCAAGACGAATACTCTGACATTTATTTCATACGCCTGTAAATTGTATTTCTTCGCACTATTAAACTATATACCAGAAAACCAACCTTTAACCACAGTCAACTCCAAGTTAATCGGGGTAATACCATAGAGGAAGCACCAGGGCAAACCAAAAATCACCATTAATCCGAGAACAAATACAACAGAGAATAGAAAAATAACCTGTATAATTATAATTAATTATAACGCCATTATAATTAATAGAAAAATATCCTTACTAATTTATAGGCATTTTTAAGCAATGTGATTTTTAGAACAATTTCATTAAGTTTTGTAAATTAAATCAGTATTCGAAGTTAATTTCCCTCTTTATTTCTGTCTCGGTTTTGCTCATCTCATTTTCTTCTGTTTTTTTAATGTTTCTCTCTATGTTTATTCGTCACTTCACAGTGCACTGCTGTTTTTTTTTTTTTTTTTTTTTTTTTTTTTTTTTTGTGTGTATATTATTTTTGTTTTGCTACAGAAATCACACAATTTTTAAAGGGTTGTGCATTTCATTTTTTTAAAATTTATTCTAAAGTTATAATTTAACAATGCCTATCTTTAGAATTATATAAAATTATTAAACTACGTACAGTTGCAGATAAATATAACGGCGGAATAATATCGCATTGTTTTTAGTTCAAAGGGATTTGAGTCCCCGAAGGACTATTACTTTCGTTTTGGCATTTTGTGTCGGACTCCTATAAATGTCGGTTCACTTTTCAAACTGTTGCCACAAAATGCTAGAGTCCTGCATTATATTTTAAGAAATTAAATAATGAAAAATCTGCATAAATTTATGTATATTTCTCGTATTGTGATAAAACAACGGTATCTAGAGCCATCGAATTTTGAATGACGTAATCCTAGTGCGAAAATGTGCATCTGTAATCCCAAATTTGAAATTTGGAATTTGTTTTTGGAATTTGTTTTATTATCGATTTCATATTTTGTAAAACTTTAACGAATTTTTGAGTAACAAACTCAACGATTTAAAAGCGAGCAATGGCAACACTCTACGGTGGAAAAAAACCTTTTTATCTCCAGCGCGTCGAACTGTGTATCGGAAATTCTAAAGATATGCTCATTTTAAAATTATTTTGAGACATTGCTATTGAACTAAATTTTATCGTTTAGGTGCAAAGAACATGACATTCAATAAATAAATGTAACACATAAAACGTTAAAAAAACGCCCCTTTGGAGGTAATTTAAAATCTGAAACATTTCATATTTTTTTCTATTATTTATTCAACACCATTTTCTTTTTCGTATTTTCGGTGAGCAGTTTTTATTTACGCTGACAGATTGTGATAGTAAATTTTTCCATCGTTTCATAATAAACAATCTTTACTATTTTAATAGGGCTCGGTTGACACGATTCCGCTTGAACAAGTTTTCCTACACATTTGCTTTCGCAATAAGAAGGTAAATTGTGTTACTAAAATTAGTCACCACACAACCAATGCTATACCTAAAGCAAACACTTTATATAATATAAACCACACTTAAATAATATAAACCTGCACTGGAAAAATTACCTTACATGAATACATAAGTAGAAGAAATTTAGTTTTATTTATTAGTTCTAATTTAGTATTTAGAGTAGTTTAAATTTGTGTTGTTAATTTTCCAAGACAGACTTGAAACCAATTCTAGAATATCTAAACATAATAATAAATTTTATGTACATTTAAAATTTGCTTTTGAGGGATGTTGCTTTAAATATTCAAAAATTAAAGAATGAATTTAAAAGCAAATATTAAATGATAGATATTAACTTAATGATTAGCACAACAAATTTCAGGAAAAGCATTATTTCGAGAAGCAATTATGAATAAGTAGTGGAATGTAAAAAATGAAACTTTTCTCCTAATTAATTAATTAATTACTGGGAACCAAATTAAAGTTCAAAATGCATAATTATAAACAAAGTTTTAGCGGTAATTTGTCTTATATTTTCTTTTCCCTAAGGATTGTCAATCTTTCGATACCTAAGTTACATATCATTATCAGACCGCTCTTGAACATTGTATTTAAGAGCCTATATATAAATATTCTGTTTATTTGAGTTAGATGGAAACGCACTGAAGTGGCATATAAACTGCTACGTGTAAATTTTAGTATTAGATAATTGAAAGAATCCAGTAATATTTTAGGCTGTATTAGTTCTTTTTTTAACCGAAGAATCGAAAAAGATTATAATAAACTACTGCATTATTATATGCAGTTCTAACCCTTCTCATTTATTTTCTCTGTTTCGCTTCTAACAAGACTTACATGTATTACATGTCCAAGCTTACATTTCTGTTACAAGTACGTTTATAAGGTATTTTTCCCGACTTCTTAGCATGCCTTCGTGGTGTAGTGGTTAGCCCGCTCGGTGCGAATTCGAGAGATCCGTGATTCGAGTCCTGGCGAGGGCATCTCACATTTGCCTCTTCTCCTGCTTCCAAATAACCTAATGACTCTACAGTGGCGCCAGAACTAAAAAAAAGTGGTGAATGATGATTTTCCACTATCAGGATTTTGCGATTGGGTCCCTTAATCACCGGTCGCCCTTTAAAACCACCGGAGTATATAAGGTATTTCTCCCGCCTTCTTAGCATGCCTTCGTGGTGTAGTGGTCATCACGCTCGACATGTATTCGAGAGGTCCGTGTTTCGAGTCTCGGCGAGGTCGTTGTACAATTGCCTCTTCTCCTGCTTCCAAATACCCTAATGGCTCTACCCGTTTACCTAAAGGTGTATTATGTGAGGCTATATGTCTAGTCGATGGATAATCGCTTAATAGCTAATGCACTAAGGAAAACGGGATTGAATTATCATGATTTATATGTTATAGAAAATTCGTAGAAATTATTAATATTAATTCAAATGTGCAGTCTTACAGTTCTAATTCAACAATTCAGCTTATAAATGAAACCCAGGAGTTACACTGCACCTGCGTATCTTTGAACTGCTATAAATTCAGAATCTATCTCCTACAACCGGCATTCTTCATTCATAACTATAATTCATAGATTCTCAAACATTACCAGCACGACGACAGAAGACCACAATTATTTTCCCAGAAACGTACTTCAATACAATTAATTTATTCGATTTTTGATTACAGATAATAGTGAATTTGTCTTTTAATTCTTCATGGTAAGTGGTTCATTTCTATGTTAAAAAAAATCTTTTATACATCCGAAATCAGTTTCAAAAATGTAAAAGTGATTGATTAAAAACTTATAATAAAAGTTGTATGTGAACAAAATATTTTCAACTGTTGCACTTCGTATTGGTTGAAAGATCATTTGTTAATATTAAAGTATTGCGATGTTATGAATCGATGTAACGTTATATTAATCATATATTACGAATGTCAGTGTTTGTGCCATATGGATTTCTGAAAATACATGTATGAAATTAAACCTCTACATTACTATAGCTAGTCATGTTAATATTTTAATCAGCTGGAAGAAAAGAAATTTTTCATTTTTCTGCGGTCAAAAACTGCAAGCATAGCGTAATTCTTCGCCCTTGATTTTCAGGCAGCAACGTTAACAAAAACCTTTATGACCATATCCAATCATTACAATTGAAGTAACATTAACAATACCTGGGAGTAGCCCTATTTAAAGACCCGTGTAGACCACATTAAATTTTGTAATATGTTTTCCTGTAAATGCAATGAATTAGGGAGTGATATCTTGGGTTTTCATTTGCCTGACTCTCTTCTGTCTTGTGCATGATCATGAAACAGCCGTGTGTATAGATTTTGGGCAGTGAAAGTATCTGTCGTTACGTACTTTAACATTTTTGCTCTCTGCGGTGCTTACTCTGTATCGTACCTGACGTTTTGCATACCTCTGACTGATATTATTCCACAGACTGAGTACATTATTCCAATTTTCTGAAACTTTTTCAAATGCTTTCTTTTGTTATTATATTCAACATCTCAACCTTCAAAATTTGTTCTCGTGAAAGGAAAATATATTTATAACAATTATCACGCTTTAATGCTCTTGTGTGTTGTGCAGTATAAACACATTTTTAAGTGAGATATTTTTATGCATTTAAAAGTTGTTTTTTTTTTTTTAAATCTTCACTATGTAAAGCATTCCCCACAAAACCTTTCCGCTAAATCATGAAGTATGATGAGATTTTTTCAAAATTATTCCTAAACCTTTTCGCTTTAGTAGGTTTTATCTAATTTTCAGTTTGTTAACAAAATTCTCATATCCTATATTTTCCCCGTGTCAAAAGGAGGCTATAGTAAGGCATGAGATCTCATTCGAGTAAACTCAGATGGTAAAGAAAAATCCTCGATCATATTTTAGTTTGCACACCATTAGAGATACTAAGGTTTTGAAACACGAAAACACGAAAAAAAATCATTAATGCAGTCAGAGCTTCGAACAACTGGACTTCCTGTTGCTAGACATATGTCCTCTTTCTACAAAACGAGTGCAGACATAGGGAAATATGATAATTCATTTTCTTCTTTCCCATTTAAAGCGCGACTGATGATATCTAGTCTAGATTAAGTCCACCAAATCCAAGTGGGGATGAATTATGCCCAGCTATAATTTAGTTCAGTTACCGTGATAAAGTTGCTAGAGTTTTTGTAGGGGTTAGGGAGCCCGAAAAATCAGCTACACCTTCCCCGGAATTTAAATTACGAATCCTCTAGTTCCTAGCAAGCTGTGCAACCCCTTACATCATGTAAGCATGCATGTATGAAAGAATGTTATACTTATTTATGAAATTTTGTAAATCATTGAACACCGGTTTAGTAAGTCAAGAGCGTTCATGCCAATATGAATTTAAAGTAAGATAAAATTCAGCTTGAACTAAGTCGTATTATTGATAACTTTTATACATTTCTAGAAATCAGGGTCACAATTGTTTCAAAATGCATAAATATTTACCATAAAGCCAGCATTTATCTTCCAAGCATTACTTTTTACCAGCATTTTATTTGAATGTGATCTAAATTTAATGCAATTATGTATTATGTAATACAATTTACTTGTATTTCGCATTTAAAACCATAATTAGAAATAATTGCGATACTTTTGTCCATAGCAATTACTTCCTTAAATAGCATAAGGCTTCAATAAATTAGTTTTATATTCGTAAGAAAAATTTGATCTCGAAGAATGTAACGGCATCTAACTAAAGAAAAATCATCTGCAATCAAATACCACTAGTCCCGTTAATGCTCATTAGCGGGATCCTCGCATTCTTAATGTCAATTACCTACGTAGAACAAGTAATATAATTCTTTATTCGTTACGGATATTCAATTTCCCTGCATGGAAGTATGCTTTCTCTTCACCTTCCATCTGTTTGTTATTTTATTTCTTTTAATGATTTTTGATTTTCTATTGCTTGCTTCAATAAGTATCAATTATTCATAAAGTATTTAACAACTATTATTCAATGATGTATCTCATATATTTTCTTATTCTTTCGTTCTCCCCACTGATTATCAAGTAGTATTTGAGACTAATTATTCGTAAAATGTATAAAATATATAGAAACACATGAAAAGGGCATAATAATAAGGATAGGAAACACCACGCTACAACATGTGATATCCAGATTTATCAGGTAGGAATGACTTAACAAGCGGAAATCATTTCATTGTAACCCATATTTGTTTCAAGAAAGTGTAATTAAAGTGACGCAAGTAAATTTTAATTTTTTGAATTTCTAGAATAGAATTTTCGTCAATGAGCGTCATTATAGATTAAAAATGAGAAGCGGATACAATTTTAGCTCTTTGCAGAATGCATTATCACTCAAACGTTTAAGAAAAATTCGAAACATCAAACATGCATATGTTTGCCAAATACATATGGTAAATTAGAACAGTTCGTGCACAAATCTTTACGACAGTGTACATACTTGCTTAAAGTTCTTATAGCGCCAGCCGAGTGGTTAAAGACCTCTGAATATTACTGTTTCGTACCAGGTTCAAACACTGATAAATCGAGTGGTTACCTGGTTACTTTCCGTGGTATTCCCCATGTATAATGTGAACTCGATACAGGTTCCGATTGAAAGTCCTCCGCAAAGGCGTCTCTCTCCCTTTAGGCAGATAGCCTTAGTATGCTTTGTCATACTCGAACGACCTATCGAAGTTTTACGAAATTTCTTCAGAGGTAGTTTTTTGAAAATTCCATTGTAATGTGAAATTGTTTCAATGTCTCTTTTGTTTCTCAAAATGTTATTCTTTTTTCATAACTTCTAAAGCAAGGATGATGTTTTAAATCCATAAATTACACTTAAAACTTTACAAAATTTCTTCAAAATAATGCACAACTTAAAAAGCTTAGAGTTTGTGTTGCTTATAAATAAATTAAAATGGATGTTTGTAAGATTAGTTCTTCAAAAGCCTACCCCTATATGTAATCTGTTTTTGATGTTATGAATTCATTTACTTTCTATAAAATTTTTACTGAACCAGCATACCATGTATTAAAATTTAGATTACTTTCTATCATATATTTTGTAATGAAGTTTCACTCATAATATTTAGTTTTGTGAAAAAATTTAAATTTCTGTTTATAAGAACGCTGATTTCTGTAATTAATTCTCAAAATGCATAAATGTACTAAATTTTATTGCCAGGTTAGAGATGTGTCATTCTTTGGAATATTTCTAGATTTTTTTCGATTTAACGACACCGCAATTTTTGACGCTTTTAATGAAACAAAAATTCGATTCATCTTAAATATGAGTATTCCTGTAGAATTCCTTATTATAAAAGTATTCCTTATGATAAAAAGACACCTCTTGCGATATATATAGTCACATGTTTGTGTATATACAGCTATTTTATCTGGCAAGACCATTTATATCTCTCAAGAGTGCACTGTATACGTTACGATACACATATATATAAATTTTCACATGCCGTACATGAAGTTAAAATTGATCAATTTTAAAGGGAACCGTAATAAAATAATTTAATCAAATTTAGCAATTTTTAAGGGGTTAATAAATGTTAATGTTAACTATTTCACATGATACAGTGTTAATTTTGCACATCGTAGACTTTCGTTTGCTTCAAGAGAGATGTATTTGCATTTGCTTTACAAAATGCTTCCTTCAGATTCGGATGATTTCTCATTCGCTTCTTTTTCATAATAAAATTTGATTTGTTAATCGTTGTTTACAACATTTGTGACGTATGTATGAATAGGAATTTAGGAGTAGATTAAAACAAGGAAGCTGGAAGGAGATATAGGTTTTAATGCAATTTTAAAACTATGAATTGTTTAATTTAAAATTAATTTTTACGGAGCTAATTATTTAATTTTTCTAAAGCTACAGGTTTTATTCAATGGATCTGTCCCAAGCCATCGACTATTGTAAAATAAAATCTTTAAACTGACGATGTAGTTAAATAACATTAGATTTGAATCAATCTCTGGTGAGATATCAGTGCACGTTTTTAAATTATAAACGGGCTTTATACATATCATTTTACAGCACCTATAAATATAAATAATATATGAGATAAATAAAATGATATTTTTCTGTTTTCAAATCCAAAATTACTGGGTATTTTTTTTAAATATTAGTAAATTTAAGCAGCAGTTTTACTGAAAACAAACTTTTTTCTTGATATTACGTTATAAATAACTTTTTTATATGTAAGATTACCATGCATTGCAAATATAACGGAGAACCTTATCGGGCATATAAAATACATTATCTGAAAACATATCCATTTCTTTCACTGTATAAGACAGTTCTTTATAAGAGCCGTATTTCTAATTTTATACGTATATCGTAATTGTATTTTATACAAATTACATAATGCTTTAAAACGTTAAGCTAAAATTTGGAATTTATTGATTTCCAAAATTTAGAGGTGAAACATTTTTATACTAAATATTGTTTTACATACCTGAGATTGGTCTGGTGGGTTCTGTCCTAATTCCACATGCAGTTCTTCACAGTTCACGCATGGTGCAAGCAGTGATAGTGTTTGTCCAGCGTATGGCAGTAGAAGTGGAATACAGACAGCTATAAGGAAAAGAGATTTGCTGTCGATGATTCTGAATAACATTAATGTTCTGTTTTTTGCCATTTTTTCACTGTGGTAAAAATAGTCAGCTTGTTCTGCTTTTTCAAAAAATAGATATAGATCAGTTAATTTTTTGACTCAGATAGAATACAGTAAATTTCATAAAGAGCTATACATTAATTCCAATACCAACTTTCAAATTTATATTCAGATACAGAGCACTTACACACACAACAGTTACAATATCAACGCTTTTTACCTATACTAATCAGTAAACGTAATGTTTTTTTAACTTCAAAACGTAGCGTACATATTACAGGTGAGTACATTAACAATCTCTTAATATTCTGCGCAATTATTGAAAGGCACTTGTTCTGCTTAGCTCTTATATTCGAATAATTGGTTTTTCAGCCAAAGTGTTTTGTTATTTGAGATTTGGTTTAGATAAATCAAAACTAGTACTAAGACATTTGATCCAAATTAATATATATTTTATGTGAAATTCACAAATAAAATGCAGTTCTTTTACAGAGATCGAAAGCTTATCAATATAGCACCCGCTGTGAAAGAAGGTGAAATCTGAGAACCTGATAATTCAGAAATTATCCTGTGCGTCGGTTATTTTACAGTTCTTTATTTTTACGTTTGTAAACGTGGCGAATCAAATAATTGATATTAATTCTGCAGATGCTGTATGAATACAGTTAGGTGGTCATAGCTTATAATCTTGTTCAAATGAATACATTATTCATTTACTGAATCATTTAAACATATCAATATCCGAGAGAAATCTGGGAGTTTTAACACGTGTTCTAGAATTGTTATCTAAACCATCTTTTTGCAATACGTTTTTTTTTTTTTTTTTTTATGTTTTATGTTATGGTACTACACTGTTTTCGAAAATCAAATTTGCGAAACTGCAAAAATTGCGGAGTTCAAAGTATTCTAAGTACAGATCATTATTTAAAGAGATACTAAATTTTACTCCAAATTCTTGTACTGCAACGGCAAGAAATCGCAATTAAAACAGATAATAGGAAAACTGAGCACAGGCAACGATAGCAACTGGTACACCGAAAGAGATGGGGCGCGCTGAGATCCGCAATACTCTTTATCCGGACATACACTAAATCACTCAGAAAATTCGAAGTTCGGAGACCAGTTTACGTGCACGTTTCGACCACGGGGTGGCGCTACAGTCAACCTCAGCGGCCAACGACACTACTGATTGCCGTTTTGAGTTCCCGTAAAGACGATTCCATCTCTTACCGGAGGATTACACGGTTCCCAAATTGGCACTCTACCCTTACATGCCCTTTTATATAACGGTGCTATGCCAAAACCACGATCCTGAAAAATCTTTACTTTACTAGACTATTTAAAGGTGAAACATTTTCTTAAACTTAAAAAATTGACTTCTAAACGATAATTATTTATTACAGCATCATGCCAGATTTGCCATCACAAAGCTGGAAGATATTTTTCGATGATATTGTATGTCAAAGTCAAACAATTTATAAAAAAAAAAAAAATAGTTGTAAATTTATGTAAGAATATTACGCTAAAAAACAAAGCTGTAAAATCACTTTTCAGAAATATCATATTTCAAAATCAAATATTTTTTTTAACTTCCATTTCATACTTCTGCTTAATAATTCTAATTATGTATATGGGCATCAGACTGAAACTGAAAATATGCAAAATCCTTTTTGAGGAATATTATACTATTCTATAATGAAACAACTTTGAAGAAAAATCTACGTAAGCCTTTTGCCCCAAAATTCCGATCATTCATATTAGTATCATTCCAAAATGACAAATCTGCAAAGTGCTTGTTTTAAGAATTTTCTGTTTCAGAATGAAGTATTTTTCAGCATTAATGAAAATCTATTTCAGCAATCATTTTTCATCTCTCTCAGAAAACAGAAAAGTGCAAACGCTGTTAAAAATGTATTCAGCTGAAAAGAAATATAAAAACGCTTCATGTGTGCATTGTACTATTAGCAAGCTGCTAACACTTATTTCATTCTTTTTTACATACGTGAACAGTAGCTACATTGTGTTTAAATGCATGAGTTCACATTTTAAATGCAATTTGTTGGAAGTAATTTCTTTGACTTAAATGGCAATAATACTCGTCTGATGCTAAAATAAATAACAGTCTAAACTAAATTATGATTACGAAAGATGGAATAACAAAGTCATAAAGAAAAAATGATTTACAAGAACACTAGCTTAGGTTAGATTATTTACTGTACTTTACGGGCCTAGAACAAGAAATACATATAATGCGTCTGGATGCAGGTAACTATATAATCAAATTTGAATTCTTCTAGTTATTCCATCACAAATATTAAAGAAAAAACAGTATACATGAAATTAAATATCATTACATGATTTTTGTATTTAGGATACTAAATTCAAACTAATTCTTTGTTATTTATTTCGGGGACCATTTTATTTAAATCATTCATTTAAAACAGCCTTTGTTATAGATTTCTAGAAAAAACAATCGTTAAATTTTACACCTTCAGTTCTAAAAATCTTCTTAAAATCTATTAATATTCAAACAACATTTTTAACTTCCAATTTAATTTGCGGTTTATTTATTCTGTACAGTCATTAGGTTTTTTTTTTTTTTTTTTTTTTTTTGAAGCAGGAGACATGAAAAAAGCCGTCCCTCACCGGGACTCAAAGCCTTGACCTCTCGAATACGTGTCGAATATGCTTCTAGTTATACCACGATGGCATGCGAAAAGAAGGGAGAAAATACCTTACATACACCCCCTTTAAAGGGTGACTGGGAATTAGTGAATCCCAATTACCAAATCCCGATAGTGACGAATTATCTTCCGCCACGTTTTATTTGGGTTCCACTCTAGAGCCAATAGAATTTTGTGAAGCAGGAGACGTAAAAAATTGGAAATGCCCTCACCGGGACTCGAGCTCTGGACCTCTCGAATAAGCATCTAGTATTCTTCCAACTACACCACGAAACCATGCGGAAAGGAGGCAGAAAATGCTTTATAATCCATGCATTATTTACTTCAGTTAATCCAAAATTCGAGCTCAGATATGAATTACTGATCTTCATCCAATATATTTAACAAAACATACTTGGGTCAAAGCTATAAATAACTCTAAACAAGTAATCTAACTTTGAAGATTCTAAGATTGGGAGACCTTTTACCTTTAAATGGAGTTTAGATTGTGAGAGTGTAGAGACGTGGTCTCAGACTCGTGGCCTGTGAGTCGCTTTTGGCTCCCGAATCAATTTTAAATGTCTCATTAATACATTTCAATTATGTTTCTGTTATTCAATTATGTCTCTAAAATACAAGCACTGATATATCAGTGCTTATATTTTAGAGACGTAGATATTTTCATTGAAGTACTGTACGCGAATTTGTTAGAATCGAAATGTCATCAGGTATCAAGCTGCGGCAACAATGAAAAATGTTAAGAAATATTTTCATACGAGCATGTGTAGTTTTTCTGCATGCCTCGAAGAAAAGTTTCATAAATAAAAAAGAGCCTAATGTGCCATTATGCATTCACAACGTTTTCGCACTTGGAAAGTTTTCATAATTTGTGTATTTTTGGTTTAAATTAAAATTAAGTTATTTAGTCAGTAGAGTAAAATTATTTGAAGTAAATATATTTGCTAAATTCAAGATTTAGCTTTCAATATGTTTGAGGTATGAAGTGTAACTAGAAGAAAAGTTTTACAGGTGCTAATCTTCAGATTTCAGATAGAAAATTAATTAATTTCCCTTTGTTTTATTATTATTATTATTTACGTATGTTTTGATAAATATTTAGTTAAGGGTAAGATTTAATTAAAATACCTATTAATTCTATTTTATTTAAAATAAATTCTGGCCCGTCAGGGGCTTTTAGATTTTGCATTCAGCCCGAAGTTAAAAATTGTCAAAGAATTTAAGTAGTAGTCGAAGATCAAGGTATGATAGACTAAGAAACAGTTTAAAACAGCTTAATCAGCACAACAGAAGACGTGCTCCCAGCCATTACATTCTGTACAGCACAAAATAACATATAAACAGAACGAAATTCATAAAATATTAAGTTCTGTTGCAAATTCTAGCAGATCTTCGCTCTTTAAAAATTATCCTCAATTTTTGTGACGGTGAAGAGAGTTATTATTTTCTTCAAGCTTCATGACTTTCACAAATCTAAAATGGATAAATTGTCCGTTAGTTCAGCGATCGAGGTATCATCTTTTTATTCTTTTACGAACTGACTATAATTTTTCTTTTCATTTGTTGCGAAGTTCTTTGTAGAAGATTTTGCGCTTTGTTTAAGAAAGTCTTTCTTTCATATTAAATTATTTTGCCTTCCATTGTTTCCTTTTCAGCAATCTCAAGAAATTAGGGCATCCAAGGAATTTCGATGGTTGCTCATGTGTTGACAATTAACTCGTTTAGCATTTCCTTCAACTGCTAGAGGTCACGTGAACTGACATACATATACTATAAATACGTGTACTAAAATAAAATATTAATATAAGAGCAGTAGCCAAATCATTGACAGAGATAACATCGAATAAATGTTTTCTTCCTTAATTGGTGATCTGAATTATCAGATCTATAAGACAATTGATGCTGAATTTTTTTTTTTTTTTTTTTTTTTTTTTTGTTAGGATCGTAGAATATACGCTGATACTCAGTACTTTAATTTATAGTTCTGTTAAACTATTTAACTTTCTTAACTGATTTTTCAATTATCCATTGGGACACTAGGTTGAGCTCTTTGGCTGGATCACACGTTTTATAAGCCGGTTAGTTTAAAATTGAATAATTGCTTTCAAGAAAGAGACTAATTCTAGATTCCCTTAATTACTAGATGAATTGAATGGAATCATTGGTAATGAACGTTTAGGAATCTTTTCCTCAGTTCTGTTTCAAGAAATTTCTAATATACAGTGTGTCCCTAATTTAATGCTCCTTTCGAGAAACCGGAAGTGTCATTTTTCCTAGTATCCATCGTTTTGAAGGTGATGCGAAAGAAATGACTGCTAACGACTTTTTTGACATTTTCTGCAA